GCTTGCTGGAGCCAGTGCTGGGCCATCTCAGAGCCCCAGCCAGCTCCAAGCCTGCAGCACCGTCCACGCCTCCGGCAGCGGCTCGCCGGCGCCGCCGCCCTCGGCGGCCTCGGCGCCGGCAGCCGCCCGCTGCTCCGCGGGCTGCGCCTCGGAGGCGGGCGCGCGGCTGTCCGTGGCCTGCCGCCTCGGCGCCCGGAAGAAGAGCGCCCGCACCCTCGGCGCCGGCTCCCCGGGCGGGGCCAGCTGTCCCTCCATGACGGCGGCCTCGGGGCCTGCGCGGCCACACGCGGGGCGTGACCCATGGGCAAGAGCGACCTCTGCTGCGCGACTTGCTGGGGCCGCGAGGAGGCCGAACCCGAGCGCACGAGCCGCCGCCCTCGCGTCGCAGCCGGCTACCTGGGGGCCCCAGCGTGCCCGCACCAAAGGTCCCTCCGGTGAAAGGTCGCTCCCGCGTGTCGCCGACCTGCGCCAGCGCAGGCCTGGCCATCGAGAGCCTCGCCGAGGCGCTCCAGGGCCGGGTTCCTCCGCAGGACCTTGTGCTGGAAATCCGCCGGCCACCACGGGGCATCCGGCGTGTCCACACCACACACGCGCCACCAGCAGCTCGATTCTAGGAGTCGCCCACATCCGCTGGGCAGGACGATTCCGCGATCAAGCGCGACCGCCAACACGAACGTGTCCAGGAAGTTCCCCCCTGCGGGAGGCCGCCCAATCTGCTTCCTATGGGAAGGGGCGGGCATGGTGCCTGGTGCCTGGCCTGCCAAGGGCCGAACGCCCAGGTTAACGTAGCCTCGCTTTCGTTGTGCAGGGTGTTCACGCCCCTTCGTTGCCCCAGTATGAAACGAGCGACGAAGAGAAACGGGTCTTACGCGAGATGGCACAGCGACCTTCCGCGGTGGCTTACGCGGGCCGCCAGCGCGGAACGCTACATTGAAACTAGGGACTAGGGCTCGTCCGCGCGATCTTACGCGGGCAGCTTACGCGCGAATGTCGGCGCAATCGACCCGTTTTCTTTCGTCGCTCATGTGGTCCTCACAGCTCCAAGACGGCTGTAATTGTATCACAGACGGGCCATGGAAGGCCGCCATCAAGGGCCTGAGAGCACTGAATTCGACGATTCCTTAACTTATGGCGGTCACCAAGCGTAAAGGATCGGTCAACACCGACTCGGGAAATCGGCTCGAATCGGACGGAATGTGCATCAGACCTGGATGCATCGTCGCGGAGTCGGAATCGAATCGAATCAGCCGCGCCAGGATACACAACGACGCCATGCGAGCATCGGGCCGCATCGAATCGCCCGAGAATCGGCATCGAATCGGATCGAGCACGGCGCAATCGGTATCGAACCAGATCGATCGAATCGCAGCGGGCCCTGGGCGAGTGCTGTTCTGCCCCCCTCCCGGCCCACCTCCGAGGGGCACGATTTCAGTCGTTGCCAACGGGGTCCCTGGGACCGACCCTGCCAGGCCATGCGGCCTCCATCGGCACTCTGGGCTTTGCCCGTGGCCCCGAGGCGCCTCCAGAGCCACTTCCGGGAGATCCTCCCGGGCTGCCCACGCGACCCCGAGGGGCGCACGCGACCGAGCGGCGACCCCGAGGCGCTCCCAAGCGAGCCCAGTGCCCCAGCAGGCCCCCAGCAGGCGGCCCCCACAGGCCCGCGAGTGCCGACGGTGCTCGCGCGGAGGCATCCGACCTGGCCCTCCAGACCACTGCGCACAGCCGCCGAGGGCTCGCTGGGCTCGGGCGCTCCCGCCCGCTCCCTCCACGGCCCGCGCGCGCCCCGCCGCCCGCGGCTCCCGCTCCCCCCTCTCGGCGCCTCTCCTGCCCCCGCCGTGCCCAACTTGGCCCCGAGAGGAGCGCCCCTCGGCTGCCCCGGCCGCGCCCTTGGACTCGCGCCGCCGCGACGGCCAGGGCCCCGCCTGCTGCTGCTGCGCGTGGCCCCCCGGGGGGGGCGGGCCTGCCCGCCCCGGCACCTCTCTCGGCCGCTCCGCTTAAAGCTCCTGGCAGCCGGGGCCGCTGCTCGGCTCGCGCGCTCCCGGCCGTCCCCGCGGCCGCTCCTGGCCGCACCCAGGCCGCCGAGCATCCCTGCGTGGCTCGGGCGCTCTCCCGGCTGCTCCCGCCGCGTGCGGTCGCCAGGGGTTGTTGCTCGCCGCCGGCTGCTCCAGGCTGCACCCTCTGCTCGTCGTCGGCGAGCTCGAAGGGTGCTCGTCTGCAGAGGGGGTGGTTTGCACTGCAGCCCTCCGCCGGGCCCTCGGGAGGCCCGAGGAGGGCAGTGTGGTGACCCCCCCAAGCCAGACAACGCAGACCGCAAACCACCCCTGAAGGAGCATCAACAGCGTAAGCATAAACTCTTGACGGTCCAAGCGGAATTCTTGGATCTGCGCTGGTCCCCCTCCCTGGCACGCGGAGCGCGCCAGGGGCGGCGCTTGAGGCGCCGCCAAGGGGACCCAGCGCAGATCCAAGACATCCGCGCGTAACTCCAAAAGTTCATGCTCATGCCAATGTTGCTTGTCTTCGAACCCCGGCGTGACTACGCCCTCTGCTGTCGCCGATCCCGGGTCCGGCTGCTGGTGTCGCACCTGGCCGCCGGGGACGCTGCTCGCTCCGGGTCGTCCTGGCAGGACCTGGCCGAGCGGCTGCTACAGTCAACCCGTATGATAAGGGCGCACGAGAAGGGCGCAAGGGCCTTGGAAGGCCACTTCGAAGCTTTTCGAGCGGGGCGCGGCCAACGAAAGTGGCCAAGCATGGACCGAGGAGGCAAAAGGACGCAAGGAACAAATGATAATCGCGCTGGCGCACGGGGAGGCAATCCCCCCGAATGCCCGCGCCCCAGGGAGGGATGCGGTGGGAAAGTCAAATGATCTGGACACTGAAGCCAAAATGGCCACGATAGCAATGCCATCGGCCGGCCCCGTTGTTCCTCTCTGCATTACATGCATTCCCCGTACCCCTGGGAAGGTTGCCCATCCTTACTATGCGGGCTGACTGTGCTCCCTGGCCGCCCAGGGCTCTGCTCAGCTCGTGCCCTCCAGAAGTGTGCCGCCGCACTTGCTCGCGGTCCACGTGCTGGCCTCGTCAACTTCCGTCCAGGCTGCGCCATACGGAGCCTCGGATGGGACGCACAGAGGCATACTAATGCTATGTGTCCTCCTTGGAGGCGCGCGTCCGACCCGAACATGCAGTAGACCCATCTTGTAGACTATCGTTACCCGAGCGGTGTGGCCAGAAATCGCACGCCACGACGCATATACTGTAAGATTTCTCGGTGCACGCGTCGCCCCTGGGGGGGGCGACGCACACACAGTATTGGTATGTTGGGGTGACGCCGATCGGATAAGGATCGAAGCCCCTCGTGGGTCTCAGCTGCGCCCAGATGCGCGAGGAGCTCCGGAGGAAAACCCATGGCAACACCAGAAAATCATTGAGACTTTCCGAACCCCAAATGGACCGTATCACCTTGTCTAAAACATCTGACCGTGCTCGGCCTGGCTGGTCGTCGCTCCGCAGGATGGCGTCCAGGCAGCCTCTTAACCGTACACGCCAGCGGGTCGCCCCAAACAGCTTCCCTATGGTCGCGAAGGCTCCACGTAGGGACAACAACACGGTTCGAAAGCTCCCCACGGCAAGAGGGCCCCTAGAAGTTCCGAGAAACGCAGTGCAGGCCAAAGAGGGCCCCACATCTGACGCAGACGACCCCAAGAGTAACCAAGACAGCCCCAAGAGTCCGAACAGGTCCCCCATAAGCCCTCCCACACACGACGAGAGGCCACCGAGAGGTCCCAAAGAAATCCCGAGAGACCTCCGAGGTGCTCGCAAGAGCCCCATGACAAGGTCACGGGTAGACCACGCAGTGGCGCGGCCCCTCCTCTTGCTCCTCCGCCTTATCCTTATGGATCCCTTTCCTCGTCACGGCTGCATCCTCATCTGTCCCTCCATCCATGCTCTCTGATCCTTCCTCCTCCTCCTCCTCCTCCTCCTCCTCCTCCTCCTCCTCCTCCTCCTCCTCCTCCTCCTCCTCCTCCTCTCCTCCTCCTCCTCCTCCTCTCCTCCTCCTCCTCCTCCTCCCTCCTCCCCTCCTCCTCCTCCTCCTCCTCCTCCTCTCCTCCCTCCTCCTCCTCCTCCTCCTCCCCTCCTCCTCCTCCTCCTCCTCCTCCTCCTCCCCCTCCCCCTCCTCCTCCACCTCCTCCTCCTCCTCCTCCTCCTCCTCCTCGCCGCTGCCCCGTGCACTTCCCCCCTGGGAGCACAAAGCCTTGGAACTCAGGGCGAGCTTGAGCCCCACAGGGTGCCGACACTGCTGCCTCTGGCCTGCCGCAGGGCGGCTCAGACCACGCGTCTCCCGGTGACCGCCCCACGCCGCACGACGCGTCGACCCCGCTCGGCAGGCCCAGGCCCTGAGGAAGGACGGGGTCGGCGGATGATGCAGCGCGAGCCCGAGGGATCGCTCACCGGTGTCCTCTGGGGGGCGGGCAGTGTCGGGCCGGGCGGAAGGGGGGGATAGCAAAAGGGGGGGGGGGAGTGAGAATCAGCTTACGTAGCTGATTTTTTCCCGGCGCCTCCCGGCGCCCATGTATCGAGGAATAGGCCCGGCGACGGGGCCGAAACCAGCTGCATGCAGTAGATTTCGTACCCCCCCTTTCCCTATCCCCCCCGTTCGTTCGGCCCGACAATGGTGCGAGGCGTGAGTTTATCCAGACCCACTGCCTGGGAGCCGACGTCCTGGTGCCCCAGCGGGCGGTGGATATGGCATACCCACCGCCAGTGGAGGTCCGCGAGGATCAACCCCCCAGGCGGTGGATATGGATAAATCCCCGCCTCGGAAATGGCATAAACATAAACTTTCGACGGTCCGCAAGGGTTTCTCGGATCCTGGCGCGCGGAGCGCGCCAGAGGCGGCGCCGGGGGGCTCCAGCGCCAATCCGAGAAATCCGCGCGGACCTTCGAAAGTTGATGTGCATGTCGCTGTCTGATGCTGTTTTCCCCGAGTCCTTCAGGATCGTTTAACCAACCCCAATCCCCATCCCCATCCCCATCCCGATCCCGACGATCTCAGCGCCCCAGTTGGGGATATCCCCTCGAAACCCGAAGGGAACAGCGGAACAGCCTACCTCCCTATCCAGGGAGGTAAACTTGAGGCCCAGGCCGCGCAATGAGGGATAGGGATCGGTCAAACGATGCTCAGTCCTGTCCACCGCGCTGAAGGACCTCTCCAAGGCCAGCCGCTGCGCCCGGTCTTGGGCGCCCCCGTCGCCGGCGGGTCTCAGCACTCTCTGCACCCGGCGCTCCCGGTGCCCGGGGTGCGTCAGGACCCGCTGGATGCTCGCCTGCAGGTTGACCTCGTAGCGCGAAGGCCCAACGGTGACCGTGACAGTCTCGTCGCCCCTCTTCGGTGGTTTCTAGAAGTGCCCCTATAGCCCAAAGGTGCCCCCAGCTTTTCGCTCCCTTCTGGAGCCCCTGGGGCCCTCTGGGCCTCGTGAGGGGTGCTCTGGACGCCGTGGGGGCCTCCTTGGAAATCCCTGCAACCCTCCGCGAAACTGAACGCAAGTTTTCCCGCCCGCCCCGCGCCCCCAATTTCATCCAAGTTCAGTGTTCAGTTGCGCGCGCGGCGCGGTCCACGGACGCCGACGGAAAAAAAACAAGTTGCGTATTTCGGCATCAGCATTGAAATTTGAGGGTCTGGGGGGGCCGACGCGGTGCGGGAACAAAAATGCGCTAAGTTTCGCGGAGGGATGTGAGGGCGCCCCGGGCCAGGAGCACTTCTAGCAACACCCGGCCTCTGGTGTGCCTCCTCGATGCGCCGCTCAGCCTCGGCAGCGCGCGCAAGGGAATGGTCCGCGAGGGGGGCGGCGGTGCAGTCAGGGGGCTCCGAGGCCCTCCAATGGGGCGCACAGGGGCATACTAATACTACATGTCCTCCTTGGAGGCGCGCGTCCGACCCGAACATATAATAGACCATTATTGTAGTCTATCGTTTCCCGAGCGGTGTGGTCAGAAACCGCCCGCCACGACGCATATACTACAAGATTCCTAGGTGCGCGCGTCGCCCCTGGAAGGGGGGGGGGGGGGGCGACGCACACGTAGTGTTGGTATCTTGGGGCGACGCCGATCTAAGGAGGGGCAAAATCCATTCGGAAGGGCGCGAGGGCTTCCACGGAGCCCCCCGCCTGCCTACGGCGGGTTCGTGGATTGATGAGAAGTGGCAACTCTGGGGCTGGCTTCTGACACCGCGTGGATCGCTCAACCTTGAACGACGGTGGCTTTCCGACGGCGCGTGTCGCTCGATGCTGGCCGATATCCTTGGACACTGGCGGCGGTCAACCTGGAACGACGCCCGCGCTGGGGTCGCCGCCGCGGGTCGACGCGACACGAACCTACCATAGAAGCCCGCCCCTCTCGCCCCAACCCTTGAGAGCACCCGAGTGATCAGGGATCGCCCTGCAGGTCGGGTAAGGCCCTGCGCGGGGTCCCCGAGTGTGGCCAACGAATGCCACAGAGACGCACGATCAGGGAAGACCGAAAAAAAGCTCGGGCGCGAAAGCGGGAGGCCCGAAAACAGGAGCATCATCCCCCCCAAGTGCCAATCCCCCCTGCCCTGTCACGAGCCCAAGGGGGCTCTGAAGGACCCTGGGCGCGCGCGCGCGCGCCGCTGGGCCCGCCTCGCGCTCGTACCTCGTCCAGCCCCGGTCGCCCTCGAACTGCCACTGCGCGGCGCTGCTGCCCGTGGCCCCGCCCCCGCCGGGCGTGCCGGCCGTGAGCCCGAGCACGGAGAGGTCCAGGGGCAGCGAGCTCCCCGGGGGCCGCCCGGCGCGCCGGGAGGCCTGCGCCGCCCTCTCGGGGGGCACCCGCGGCAGGAAGCGCCCCTCCGGGTCCACGACGTCCAGGGCGCCCGTCTCGTGCTCCCAGACGGCCACGCCGGCCACCGCGGCCCCCTCGCGCTCCACCTGCACCCGCCGGCAGACGGCCCGGCTCTCCAGCCTCCGCCTCTGCGGCGGCCTCGGCGGGGCCGGCCGCGCGGCGCGCCCCGCGGGGACGTCCGCCCGGTCCACCACGATGGAGAGCGCCTCGGCCAGCTCGCCCATGCGGGCCTGCAGTGCCTCGGCCTGCGGCCGGCTGAGGCCCCGCGCGACGGGGCCTCGGCCCCTCGCCTCCAGGCCGCACTGCAGCGCCTCCCGCAGGTCGTCGCCGCTCTGCCAGCCCAGGGACGCCCAGCTGCCGCCCGAGCTGAGCTGCCTCAGCTGCTCGCCGCTGTCGAGCATCTCCAGCCAGACGATCTCGAACGGGATGATCTGTGCCTCCACCTCGGCCATGTTGAGCATGAGCTTGTGGACCAGCTCGTCGCGACTCGCGGTCTGGGCCTCCTCTGGCTCCGCAGGCCCGCCGTCGGCAGGCGCGGACTCCGCCCCGGCCCCCTCTGCAGCCTCGCCTGCGGCGTCGGCATCTCGGGCTGGCACCGCCTCCTCGGTCGCAGGGCAGAGTCCCGCGGCCAAGCTGGTCGCTGGCGGCTCCTGCTCCGCGCAGGGCAGCAGCGAGCAGTCCCGGAGGTGCAGCAGCAACTTGACCTCGTCCGCGGCCTCTCTGTACTGTACGGTGTGCACCGGCAGTCGGGACTCCACCGCGAAGGCTGTGACAGTGGCGGTGCGCCATTCGGCGACGCCGCCTGTAGGGCGCTCCAAGATGCGCCGCCCGACCACGCTGCGGCACCAGGCCAGGTACTCCTCGTCATCCACGGGCGTCGTTTGCAACACGAAGCGCTCCAGGTCTTTCAGCGTCAGTAGCGGCTCGACGAGCAGTGACCGGTCCTCCGAGCTGGAGCTCTCCAGCAACAGGTCCAGCGGGCGCACCAGGCAGTCCACGAGGCCGGTTCCTTCGCCGGCAGCGGCCGCCACTGGCAGGGTCTCGCAGAGTCCAAGCAGCCACTGCAGCGCTGGAACCAAGACCTCAGCCGAAGCTGGGGGGATCGGCGGCGGCGCCGTTGGCCCCCAGGGCCACACGCTGGGCTGATCCAGCAGAGCCAGCAGCTTCTGCGGGGCGCCCAGCGTGCCCAGCTCGAAGGGGGTGCACTTGCCCTCCCGCACGAGCGCCGTCAAAGCCTCCAGCGCCGAGGGGTCTGGCAGAGCGGCCACCGCCGCGACGGCCGGCCTCTCGGCCTCGGCCAGGGACCTGCCGCTGGGGGTGCTCGCGGCGAGCAGGCACGACAGCAGCCTCTGCGCCGCGACCTTGAGCTCCCGGAGGCACGCGCCGCCCGGCGCCTGCCGGTGCCCGGGGCTGGCCGCTGGGCACGCCACGGCGCCAGGCACCGCAAAGCGCTCCAGCTGGGCGACCAGCCCGTGGCGCCGCAGCGCAGTGGCGAGCAGCTCCACGTGGCGCGCGGGCTCCGCGCCGCCGTCGCCATCACTCGGCGGCGGGCCGCCCAGGAGTGCCTCCGCGAAGGCCAGGGCCTCGCGCCGCTCGAGGCCGGAGCCCTCCGCGATGCGGGCGGAGACCGCGGCGGCGAGGCGGTCCACGTGCGCCTCGTCAACGGCACAGCCGGCCGAGAGGAGCGACCCAAGCCAGCCCCCGTGCCTGCCGCCGAGCTCCAGTGCGCACGAGCCCCCCTCGCCGCCAAGCAGCGGGGCGAGGAGCCGCTCGCCGAAGCGGCGCACCAGGGGCTCCAGCTCGCCAGTCGGCCTGGGCTCCAGCATGCGGCGGGCGGCCTGCGCGCAGCCCTGGGCGGCCATCAGCCGAGCCCTCGCGTCCGCCGCCGCGGCCCTGGCTGCCCTGGCGCGCTTCTCGGCGGCGCGCCGGTCTCGCTCCTCCTGCTCCTGCTGGGGGCCAGTGCCACACAGGCGCCGACACCGGCGGCAAGTACTTCGATCCATCGGCTACACGCAAGAGTGACCCTGGGTAAGGGTGGCCTTTGGTGCGCGACTTTTGGGGGGCCGCGGGGGGCCAAACACCAGCGCGCAAGACGCCACTGCCGCCTCGCGTTCGGCGATCGGGGGGCCCCAGGTGGCCCGCACCCCAGGTCACCCCGGCGAAAGGTCACTCTTACGTCCAGTCGATTCCAGGCCCCTCCTGGGCCCCGGCTCTGCGCAGGGACCCCCTCTGGCTCGGGCGGGGGATGCTCAGCCACCGCTGGGCCCTAGGGAGAGCCTGGCCAGCGCCGCTCTCTTGCGCCAGCCTCTAGCGGCGCGCATGCGAGAGGGCGTGGGGGGCGGAGGGGCGGCGCCCTCTCGCAGAAGCCAGCCGCCCCTCCGCCCCCGTCCCCTCGAAGCCGGCCGCCTGGGCACTCCCGGAGTCCACCGCGGCCAATGCTTAGAGCTGCACCCAGGGACACTCCCGGAGTCCATCGCGGCCAATGCTTAGAGCTGCACCCAGCCGTGGCGACGCGGAGGGCCCCCCGAGGGTCAGAAGCCGCCTGGGGAGACGACGGGCGAGGAGGGCGAGGAGGACGGGCATGCCCCGGTTCCTTGCGCCTGGCCTCCGACTCCGCGAACGCCTTCCGCTTCTCCTGCGCAGGAGGCGCCCCCACGCATCGCCACCGTGCCTGGCCAGGGCCATCCTGAGTCCCAGGGTGGTGCCAAGACCCTGCTGGCCTCGGCCAGGAGGGCACACACACACACACACGCACGCACGCACGCACGCACGCACGCACGCACAATTACGCACATACCACGACAACCCCTCGCTCCGAGTCAGGGCGGTAAAGCTCTCGCTCCGAGTCAGGGCGGTAAAGAACACACACACACACATGTACACAAACATTTTTGATTCGCGGGTCGAGAGCACACCTTCCGGTCGAAGCTAAGCGGGCCGCGCGAAGCTTGAATTAACAAAGAGGGGGGGCAGAAGGAGAGCGGCCTCACGGCAAGGCCAGACATGTATACACACACGCACACACGTTTTTGGGGGCGATCGCGCCCTCGCGCGCAGCGACGAGGTGGAGAAAGTCCCCGAGCGGGAAGAGCGCGAGCGCGGACGGCCCCTCAGAAGGAGGGCAGGGAGCCCGTAGGATCGACCATGCCATGGGTATGCCTGGGAATGGGCAGCGGGGGTGCAGTGGGTGCGCAGCGAGGCCGACGGCCAGGACAGGTGGCAAGCAGGGCAGGACAGCGACAGACATCAGGACGCCTAAGCTCGCCACAAGCTGGGCGCCCCGGCGACCTGCCAGGACAGGGCATGCCGCGAAGAGGCGCAGCGGGAGAGAAGCCGCGAGGCCCAGGCCAGAGAGGCACCGTACAGCAGCCACCAGCAAGCCGAGGCAGGCACAGAGAGGAGTCGGAGGCACCGCAGGCGGCGGGCGGAAGAGCAGTGCGGGGAGGCGACGCCCAGGCAGCAGGGCGCGCCGAGGGCAGGCGCTGCCACGTAGCGAGGTCGCAGCTCTAAGACGAAGCAAGGACGACAACAATTTCGGGTGATGATAAATCGGGAATCTCTGAGATCCTGGAGGATGTCTCGGGCGCCGCCTTCTCACAGCGTTCCGGAACGCTCTGAGAGCGTTCCAGAACGCTCTGGAACGGATTTGTCCCCGTCCAAGCCCCGCCCGAAACTCCGCGTCCAGAACAATAGGAGGGTGGGACCCACAACCGGACGCGAGCGATCACCACCACACAGCAGGGAGGGTCTCTTTTGCACTGGTTGGGCGGGGATGACCGTGGGTGCCTCGCCTTGGCCAAGCCGCTAGGGCCGACATGGGCCGACGAACCAAGGAGAGGCGTGACCCCGACGCGCTAGCAGCCTGAGCGGTGTGGTCGGGAGCTGCTGGGGCGAGAAAGGTCGCGGGAGTGGCCACGCTTCTGTGCGCTGGGCTCCTCCACGGGCGCCGCACGCGAGGCAGAGACAGCCCACGCGGCGGCGGCGCTTGGGAGGCGGAGCGGGGGGGCGAGTGCACACACACGCACACACACACGCACACACACGCACACACACAAGCACACAGACACATGATCTCCCTCTCTCTTGCACATACTTTTGGCGTCGCGGCCACGCGCGCAGCGACAGGGCGTAGCTAGGTCAGAGAAGAGAGGACGCGCGCGCGCACGCGACTCAAGGTCGAGCCCTCAAGCGGAACTTGCGCGCATACACAAACACTAACACAATCAAGCACACAAGCACAAACACAACACACAACACACAAACATAGCACAAGCACAAACACAAGCACAAGCACAAGCACACACACACAGTCGCACAAGCACACGCGCGCACACCTATCGGTTAGGGCTTAGCGACTTCTGTTTTCCCTCGCCTCGCGCTGGACCTTCTACGATGCAGGTTTATCTGGGCATCCCTGGATCTACCTCGAACCATCTGGATTTTTCCCATCGCGGGCCGGGAGGCCGGGAAGAGCTCGGGACGCTGGCGCCGGGACACCGCGAAGTGGGCAAGCGTGTGGCGCGGAAGCGTGTGGGACCAGAGCCGGTGGAGCGACACACTGAGCCAAAGTTCCTGACCGTGTTGGGAGGGGTAGGAGGAGTCGGCTTGCGGGGGGGGGTCGGGCGCGCGGGAGGCGGGCGGAAGCGTCGCCGGCGCCCCGCGCCCCCGGGGGGCTCAAAGTAGATTTCCCAGGCCTGGGTGCCCTGCCCTTGGTGCGCGGCCTCAGGGGGCTGCGGGGGGACCAAACCAGAGCGTGTGGGCCACTGCTGGGGAGCCCCATCGTGAGCCCGCACCAAAGGCCTCTCTGGCGCAAGGCCACTCGCGGTGGTTCAAAGAGATGGGGCTCTGAGGCATGGGGCCCTGAGGGCGAGGCGCCTCAAACGGTCTAAATCCACCCTTGGACCACTTCCGATCCTTGGGACCCCACCCCTTCGGTGGCAACTCATGGGAGCCCCTTATACCATCTTGTCGGCTCTTTCGAATCGACGATCATCGACGCGAAATCGACGCCCATCGACGCTAAATCGACGCTAACCGACACCAAACGACGCGAAATCGGCGCCATCTCATCGACTCCCAGACGCTGGTCGACGCTAAAAACGAAAGTGCGAGCGTACACCAGGCTCCCCTGACTTGCTATCGAACACCCCTCAGACCCCCAGGACCCCAACCTTGAACTCGCCATCGCTGGGACGTCCATTCCCCGTGCGTTTCTCGGCTTCGTGCGTGTCTTCCTTCGCAAGATGATCCAAGCTGCTCCTCGCCGAGAAGAAAATGCACACGCCCGAGCGATGCCGAATGAGCCAGCGCCACTCTTGCGCGGAGCCGACCCGGGCACGGCCGGCCGTGCTCGCGGGGCGCCCTCTGCGGCAAGCGGCCCGGCGCGCGCCGGGTGGCGCCGGTCCTCCACGAGCGCCAGGCGACTCGCGAGCGCGTCGCCCGCCGCCCCGCCGCGGCCCTCCTCGGCCGCCGGCGCGGGCGAGGCCGCCTCCTTCGGCTCGCCGCCCGCAAGCGACTCCGCGGAGGCCGCCTCTGGGTCGGAGTCCTTCTCCAGCTCGGAGGCGCTCTCCTCCTCCTCTTCCTCCTCCTCGCACTCCTCTTCCTCCTCCTCCTCTTCTTCTTCCTCCTCCTCTTCCCCCTCCTCCTCTTCCTCCTCGTCCTCCTCGTCGCCCTCCTCCTCCTCCTCTTCCTCGCCCTCTTCTTCTTCCTCCTCCTCGCCCTCCTCCTCGCCGCCCTCGTCCAGGCCCTCCTCGCCCGCCTCCTCCCTCGCGCCCTCCTCGCCCGCCGCGCTGCCGGCACCGCCGCGCCGCTCGCCCCGCGCCCTCGGGCCCTCCTCGCCCGCCGCGCCGCCCTCCGCGCCGTCGCCGCCGCCCTCCCCGCCCTGCTCCAGCTCTGGCCGCGGCGGCCGCGCCTCCCGCCGCTGCAGGCCCTCGCCCTCGCCGCCCTCTCGCCGCGGGCCCTCCGCCTCGCCGCCGTCCTGCGAGGGGGGAGGGCCGAGGGGGGCAGGAGGGACTGCACACAGGCAATTTGAACTTCTCTGACTACCTACCTACCAGACCACCCCAACCCAACCCGAAGACCTAAATTTCGGGTTGGGGGGGTATGGGCTCCATATGTGTTTCTTCGATGTTCCCAGACCCCCCCCCCACTAGAAATCGAGGGTAAATCTTAGCCTTCGGGTTGGGTTGGGGTGGTTTGGTGGGTGGTGATTCTCACGGTCCGCGCGGCTTCCTTGGGCCTGCGCCGAGACCCCCCCTGGCGGCGCCGCTCCACGCGCAAGGCCCCCGTGGTTGCGCCCGCATGCCGCCGCCGCCCCACTGTGGCGCACCCCTCACACGCTTCGTGGCTCCGTAAGGAGTGCTCTGAGAGGATTCTCGGGGCCTCTTGGAGGCTGCCCTTGTGAACCGTCTCGGGGGCCTCGGTCTGTCGAGGTACCTTTTCCCTACCTAGGCTCTGCCTAGAAGGGTTCTTACTCGGTATGCTTAAAGGGCCGGGCAGTGCAACTCGCCCCGGGCGGTTCCCCCAGTATACGCCCCGCGGTTCCCCCAGTTACGTCCCCTTAGCTTAGCGTTGCTTCTCTCATCTTAGCTTAGCTTATCTTATAATAATTTAGCTTAGCTTCATCTTAGCTTAGGTATATCTTAGCTAGCTTACCTTCATCTTAGCTCCGTTGAGCTTTAGCATAGCAGAACACAACATAGCATAACATATCATAGCATAGCGCAGCATACCATCGCATAACATAACAGAGCATATAATAGCAGTGCGACCGTTAGCTTAGAAGCTTAGCATAACTAGCATATCATAGCATAGCATAGCTAGGCTCTGCCTAGAAGGCTAGCTCAGCTTAGCTTAGCATAGCGCAGCGCTGCATTAGCATAGCATAGCATAGCATATCATAGCATAGCCAATCATAACATAGCATAGCATAGCGCAGCATAGCATAGCATATCATAGCATAGCATATCCTACCATATCATATCATAGCATAGCATAACATAGCATAGCGCAGCTTAGCATATCATAACATAGCATAGCATATCTTATCATAGCACAGCGCAGCATGGTATATCATAGCTTAGCATAGCATAGCATAGCATATCATACCATACCATAGCGCAGCATAGCAGAGCATATCATAGCGTAGCGCAGCATAGCATGGCATAGCATAGCATAGCAACTAATGCTGCTTTCCTAGGGGCTCCAACTTCTAGGTAGGGTCGCACTGGGGTAATTTAAATCCCCAGGACCCCAGCTGCGTATCTGACCCCCTCCCCTTTTCCCCTCTAGACATCCCCCCCCGACGGGGAGGGGATCAAAGGGAAGGGGCTTCCCGTCGACTCGATTACGACATTGCTAGATTCTTCTCTCGCTGACAGATTTGAGGAGGGTGCAGGGGAAGGGGGCGACGGAGACGACGACTGTCGGAGACGACGACTTCAACGGAGAGGCCCCTCACACACGCCGACAGGGACCCTTTCCCCAGCGCCGGCTCTTCATCCCGAGCTGTTGTTTGAAGGTCCGCCGCGCGATTTGCTCACGACGAGCGTGTCTGGACGACGACGACGACGACGACGACGACGAAGACGACGAAGACGACGAAGACGACGACGACGACGACGACGACGACGACGACGACGACGACGACGACGACGACGACGACGACGACGACGACGACGACGACGACGTAGGCGCAGGCGCTCAGCTGGGCCAGGCTCCTCGTCGCCCTCCGCCGGCGCGGGCGGGGCCGCGCCCGGCGCCCCCCTGGCGGCAGGAGCCTCGGCCGCTGCGGCGGCCTCCCCCGCCGCGAACCTCCTGGAGGGCGGCCGCGCGCGCGGTGTGTCCCCCTACGGGAGGCCCTGCCATAGGCCTCCTCCTCCTCCTCTGCCTCCTCCTCCTCCGCCTCCTCCTCCTCCTCCTCCTCCTCCTCCTCCTCCTCTTCCTCCTCCTCCTCCTGCCCGTGCGCCCCCCCCCAAGAGGCAGCGAGACAGAGCAAGGCGGAGGCCTCTCCCCCCTGTCGTCGGCGTCCGGGGGGTCCGCGCCTGGCCCCCGGGAGCACCGACGCGCCGTCGGCGCGGGGGAAACTCGGGCTCCGCGTCCCGCCGCGGCGCCGATGCATCGGCGATGCGGCGCGACCCGCCGACCCCATCTGCTCGGACCCCGTCTTGGATGCCTGGGGGTGCGCCAGAGGAAGCTGGGAGCACACGTGGCTGGATCCTCGTGTGGCAGACCCGGAGGCCACGCGCTGGATGTGTGCACCTGCGGAGAGGCAGCGTGCCGGTCCGCACAAGGGGCCGAGCGCTGGAAGAACCTGTGGCAACAGGTGCATCCAGCTCCCGCCCGGGCTGGCCACGCCACGTGCGTCCAGCTTCCTGGCACGCGGGGAGGCCCCCGGGGGAGGCTGCTCCAGGAGTGAGCCGCTCGGGAGGCCCGCAGAGGCCGCGCGGCTCCCGCCGCGGCCGCGCGCAGTGCCCCGCCTGCAGAGGCCCTGCCGGGGCTGCGCGGGGAGGGCCCCCCCCCCCCGGCCGAGGAACCGGCCGCACCGAGGGGCCGTTGGGGTCGTCGCGGCGCCGGCCTGCGCGCGGCGCGGTGGAAACCGGGGAGAGGCCTCTGGAGCATGCTGCAGGGAGGCGAGGATCCTCGAGGCCACAGGAGACCCGGGAGGCCCCGCGTGCCCCCGGGCGGCCCTGGAGAAGGGGCCTCTGGAGGCGACCTTCGGGCGGCGTCAGCTGATCACCTAACCTATTCTGGTCAGGCCCACCCCAGGCGGGGGCGGGGCGAGGGAGGCAGCCTTCGGAGAGAGCAGGAGGGCGTCTCAGAAGGGTCTGGATGCTTCTGGGGAGGCTTCTCAGGCGGCGGGAGGGCGTCTGCGGAGCCCCCTGCCTTCGAAGCCCGCACCCTTCACGCCACCCCCTTCTGCACAAAGCCGCTCCTCAGGACGGCCTCCGCCGCGTCGGCGCCGCCATCCTTGAAGTGAGACTCGTAGTAGGAGGCGAAGGGCGACAAGCTCGCTGGCCGCGCGGTGACCCTCGGCGGGAACTTCGCCAGCAGGGGCTGGAGGGTGAAGGAGGTGTCCCGGAAGTTGGCGGCGTAGTAGCCCCCGAAGGGCAGCACGCAGCCCCGGGGCCACACCTCCGGCGGCGGCGGCACCCCCAGGGAGGCGCACTCCGCCAGCGCGGCACGGAGGGCCTCCTCCATGGCCTGCGCGGCCGCGAGGGCGGCCTCCAGCGCGAGCGACGCCAGGGCGGGGGACCTCTCCGCCAGCAGCATGGCGAGGCGCGGCGAGGCCTCCATCAGCCGCCGCAGCGGGTCGTGCTCATCCGCCGTCGGCGGCTGTGCGGTGGCCGCCGCCTTGGCTGCGGCGCTGGCGTCACCTTCTCCCCCACCTGGAGCTGCTAGACATTGACCCCCCGTCCCCCCTGGGGCACAGACAGGTCCACACGGTTCGGTGTACGTGCTTCCCCGCGCCAGAGGGGAAGTCGCACGCCTGTCCCCGGAGAAGCCGTCGGCGCCTGAGCGGGGATGGGGTTGTTGTCTAGCTTGCTGCTGAGAACCTTCCGCCGGGGAGGCGCTGTCGCCAGCTGCATCCCCAGCGCCTGCTGCTGGGGCCGCCGAGGCCGCCTCCACCGGTCTTCTCTCGGCCGCCTCCTCAGACGGTGGATAAGCTGGTGCGTGCGCGAGCAGCAGTGCCTCCAGCACGCGCTGGGAGCACTGCGCCTTCAACGCCACCGCGAGGGGCGCCTCGGGGTCGCCCTCCGCACGAAGGAGGTCGCCGCGCTCGTCCAGGAGCCTTCGCACCGCGCCCTCGTCGCTGTCGGGCCCCCTCCGGAGCTCCTTCAGCAAGCTGCCCTGCGCAGGCCTCGGCGCCGCTGCAGCCAAGCCGTGGCCACCGTGCGTCGTCGCCCCCAGGGCTGGCCGCACCCGCGAGAGCGGGAGGCGCCGGACGGGCGGCCCGGCCTCGGCGCCCGCCCACGCGAGCACGCACACGCTCGGAGTGGCGTCTGCCGGGGCGGCCGCTGGGCGGTCGCCGGCGGCGGCCTCCTGCGACTCCGCGCCCTTGGCAGCGGCGCCGCCGGGGGCTGCGCCACAGCGTGCCACGACGTGGGTCTCCGCCCACCTGCCGCAGCCCGTGTCCACCAGCGCCGGCCCCGCAGCCAGGAGCTCCTCCGCGCTCGCCCGGCGCCCAGCCCAACCCACGCACGACCCCAGCCACGCCCCGAGCTCCAGCGCCAGCCCCCGCGCGGCGGGGGCATCCAGCCTGGAGGCCACCCGGTCGAAGAGCCCCGCCTCCTCCAGGGCGAAGATCTCGCTCGGGTGCGCCCGCAGCGCCGCCAGGATCCGCGGGGCAGACGAGGGCAGCCCCGCGACGTCTGCGCGTCTCGTCTCTGGCGTCGCCTCCCCGAACTGCGGGTCTGCGAGGCAGCCGTCGCAGACGAGCAGCCTGCAGGTGCAGAGGAGGGGTGTGGACGACGGGGGGCACGCGTCATGCCAGGAATCTGAGACGCAACGAGGCCGACTAATCAACGTGTCGACCATTCGCGAGCGGCTGTTCTCATGCGATCGCTCTCAGTGTTTCCGAAACTCCCACGCATCATGTTGTAGACAATCCATCGCGCGAGCTTCGAACACACAATAGAGCTGCACATCACCGGCATAGCGAATCTGTGCCAAAATCCGCCAACAACAAAAGCGATGTAAAATCTGCTGCAGACGGAATGATTGTGTGAATCCCCTGGGGAGGCGAGGTGGTATGCTGTTCTCAGAATGCATGCGGCACCCTGCAGTCATGTCCGTGCTTTTCAGAAGGTCGCCCTCGAAAAGTAACGCACAGTGGTGGGCATGACGGATTCGCACGTCCACGACCAGGGGGGGTGAGGGAGGGGGTGCTTACGCCATCTGATCGAAACAGCCGCCGAAATCAGCGAAAGTCTGCCTGCCCTAGAGGGGGGGAGAGGGGGGGGGGGGGGGCGACATAGGAGCCTCGCGCCGATCGGTGGAACGATGTATAAAAGAACGCTCATACACCAGCACGTTGTGGATAGAACATGTGGCCGCGTCGACTTTGTAGCGTTGCAACCTGCGTCAATCGCACACCCTTGTTGGCGGGCATGTTGTGTGACCCCTCTCGGGAGCCCTCGGTCGGGAGCCCTCGGTCGGGAGCCCAACGGGGCTGGTGTGCCCCTGTGTTGGCCCCGTGATCCAACGGGGCTATGCGACCCCGTGTTGGCCAGGACCGCCGCTCGAATACATATCCCTTGTGGCGAGAACGAAATGGACGGCGGCATGTATAAAGATCACCCGTGACGCTTGCTATACATGTTTCAGCGCTGTGGCCCGGTGACGCATCGACGCTTTGTCAGCGGGTTGGGACTGATACAGCAAACAATCTTTGCGGTTTTGGTCCACAGAGGTTGCGAAGCGGTGTCCTCCAACCGTTCCGCTTGGATTGATGGCACCGCGCTCTGGCGCATGCTCAAAGCCCAATACCTTTTACATATCGGCGAGGACCTCGACACATTGTTGATTGCATGAGCAAAGAAGCTCGCAAACGAAAGCGCAATCCAGCAAGCAAGCAACGTTAAAGCAGTAACGCAAATAGGGAAGCAAGCATGAATGCAAGCTGTCATGCCAGTCAGCGCCCGAGCAATCGTGCAGGCATGGAAGCATGGAGTAAAGCATGCGAGCAATAAAGCAAGCAAGAACGCATGGAAGCAAGCAAACAGGCAGGCATTCAATCAATCACGCATGACATCAAGCACGATGGCGCGACAACGATGAAGTACGCAAATAAGCAAGTACGCAACCATGCACATACACACATAATCACGTAAACATGAACGCCTGAATGTGATCGTCCCTTGAAGTACGCAACCAAAGCATGCGACTAGCGTCTGACCTTAAGTAAAGTGTGTGATGACATGTGTACCACGGTTATCCACATATGCATGTTAAGCCTACTGTACCAGTATGTATACTCTTATGCCTGATGAGGTAATGGATCTGTATCCCAGTGTGGTAGAATGGATCTTCATATTTCGTTTGTCCGAGTGAATTCCCCGTGCGCTGCTTGCAAACGGTTCTTACTTGGGTTGTGGAGAACTGGCCCAATGGGGCGGGGTCCACCCGTGGCCGCCACAGCGCAACCACCGCGCAATAATGGCTGCCACCGCGCAACCACACCGCATCCCGCGCCGCCCACACCCCACGCGCCACCACTGCGAAACCCTCCGAACAATATACTGCATGACCTACTGGGCAGCCCACCGCGCAAACACCCGAACACATGGGGTTGCACACGCATGGCGCTCCACACGCGCAAAACTCCACACACATACGTATTCAGTACGTGCTGGGTTCCGCTCGCATGGCGTTCCGCCCACACACGCGGGTCCACACGCTATGCGGTCCGCACGCATGGGATCGGTATCGCACTGCTGGGCATAAGCACGGCACGGTAATTGTTTCGGCACGGCACGGCACTCGATCACGCGCCACGGGACGGCACGGCACGATTCTCGCGGTCGGCATGAGCCAAGCACGGCACGGCACGACACGAAGCGCGGTGCGGGCCGGGCACGGCACTGCGGCCAATAACACCTAGCCTGGCGAAGGACCCAACCATATGCAGTTGTGAGCGCCGCACTTGTAGGTATCATCTTCGGTGGGGCTCCCAGTGGGACCGCGAGGCGTGCGAGGGGTGTGCCAAGGTGGGGTGGCGGCGGCACGCGACCGCAACCACTGGGGCCTGTGGAGGGGGCAGCCACGGAACGTGTGCGGGGTGCGACAAAGTGGGGTGGCGGCGGCATGCAAACGCAGCCACTGGGGCCTTCGGTGGGGCTCCCTATGGGGCCACGAAGCGTGTAAAGTGGGGTGGTGGCGGCATGCGAACGCAGCCACTGGGGCCGTCGGTGAGGCTCCCATACAAGGACACGAATCGTGTGAGGCGTGTGTGAAGGTGGGGTGGAGGCGGCATGCGAACGCAATCGCTGGGGCCTTCGGTGTGGGTCCCTGTACGGCCACAAATCGTGCGATGGATGTGCCAGAGGGGGTCGGCAGCGACATGCGAACGCAGCCGCTGGGGCCTTCGACGGGGCTCCCTATGATGCCAAGGAGCGCGTGAGGGGTGTGCAAAAGTGGGATGGCGGCGGCATGCGAACGCAGCCACTGGGGCAGTCGGTGGGGCTCCCAATGGCGCCGCGACACGTGCGAGGGGTGCGACAAAGTGGGGTGGCGGCGGCATGCGAACGCAGCCACTGGGGCCTCTGGTGGGGCTCGCTTTGGGGCCACGAAACGTGTGAGAGGTGCGCCAAAGTGGGGTGGCGGCGGCATGCGGACGCAGCCGCTGGGGCCGTCGGTGGGTGTCCCCATGGGGCCACGGAACGTGTGAAGGGTGCGCCAAAGTGGAATGGTGGGAGAGTGGCAAGGGGTGGGAGGAGGGCGCGGAAGGAGGGAAGGAGGACGCCAGGCACTGCTGATTCAAAACGAGGACCCAACTCACTCAACACAGGATGATCGGGAACAAATGTCATCATCTGGTAAGCGGGACCCCTCACAACATTCACTGCTTCGGGAAGCACGCGTAAGATGGCTCCGCCCGTCTTTGAACTCTCGTAAGTGCCTCGTGGGTTGTCTTGGGAACTCGGGGGGCCCGCCCAAGAGAATGCAATCATTGAAAATCATCGGACTATTCACGTTGTTCCGCGTTCTTAGCTTCTCCGTCGTAAATGCTGCAGAGAAGGCCCCGCAAACCCGTAAGGTCACCTCTAAAAGGCCTCTGGTCTCTGCCCACTGCCAATTCGTGGTGGCGGGACAGGCTGGATATCACTGGATTCACCGTCCCTTTTCGATTTGCCAAAGGGGTGCCTGTCGTACCAAATGTTTGACTGCTGAATTCTTTTTAAGGGTCCCTGCCGGCCTCCAGCCCAGCCCGCTGGCCACCCAAAGATACACATAAACGTCTGGGTCGCCAGTCTTCCCGCTCAGGACGGCCCCCCGATGGCCTCCAAGACAGCCGCGATGGACTCCAAGACGGCTGCGATGGCCCCAAAAGAACCCAAGATGGCCCTAAGATGACTCCAAGACGGCCAGGACGCCCAAGACGCCCCGACGGCGCCCCAAGAGGGCTCCGAGAAGACCTCCAGGAGGCAAATATTATTGATCCACATTTCTGGTTTTTCAATGATTTTAGCGTTCTCGCCTGTTCGGGCTTCCGACGCTCCAAGACGGCACCATAGGCTCACAAGGTCGCCTCAAGACGGCCCAAGAGGCACCCAATTGGGTGCCTCTTGGGCCCAAGAGGGCCCCAAGACAGCCCAAGAGGCCCCTAGTCCCAGGAGGCCCCCGAAAAGCCCCAGGACGCCCTCCAGAGGCGCCCAGGAGGCCCCTCCGAGGCCACCAAGAGGCTCCCAGGAAGCCCGCATGAGGCCCGAGAGGGTTTCAAGAGGCTTCCTCTTATTTCATCTTATTTCTCTGCCTCCTCCTCCTCCTCCTCCTCCTCCTCCTCCTCCTCCTCCTCCTCCTCCTCCTCCATTCCTGTTCCTTCGAAATAATTTCTCCCTGTCGCACTCAGAGGCCAGTTTTTAGGCGGGCCGGGCGTTTCGCCTGAGACTTCCTCACCATTTATGACTCTGAAACTTTGAACGTGGCAACAGTTTCACAGATGGAGGGCGGGTGGTTTTCAGAATGTGGCTCTCGCCTCAGAGCCGCGTACATGCGTTGATAACATTCGCAAGAGCTTCACGGATTGAGGGCGGGTGGTTTTAGAAATGTGGCTCTCGCCTTAGCGCCGCGCACATGGATTTATAACAGTTGCAAGAATTTCACGGATTGAGCTGAGGCTGGTTTGGCCAAAGGGGAATCATCGTGCAGTGCGCTCTTTGACCTTCGTATGTTCTACGAAAACATCTGTGTCAAAGAACTCAAGCGTCGTTGTGAGAAACATGGGTTCCCGCTGGTCATCACGAAGGTGTACCTCTTCGCTTATAGATGCGGTCGCTCCTGGTGCTCAGGACGCTGGCTGGAAGGCCCCTATTTCTGTCTTCGAGGAGTCATCGCTGGCTGTTCGATGGCCACGACGTTCAGAGTCTTCTGTCAGGACGGGTATGATTCCCTTCCTGCGCAGCCTAGTCTGGCCCTCGATGAGTACATCGACGATCAGGGTCTCTCGAGCACGGGCCCCCACCGCGTCGTTCTCAGGTCGGTCGTCGAAGGGGCCAAGGCGCTCCATCTTGTGCTTAAGACTTGCTTCGGTTGTGCTCTTGCCTTTGACAAAACTGCCGCGGTGGCCTCCTCGAAGGCGCTAGGAGATGAGGTTTCCTTCGAGCTGTTCCACCTTGGAGGTAACTTTGCTTCGAGCGCTGTCAACCTAGGTGCTGACTACACGGCAGGCCGCGCGCTCAGGGTCCAAGGCCGCTCGGTCAAGTCAGAAATGCGGATTGCGAAAGCTTCTCGTGCTGCGAAGCGCCTCAAGAGGCAAAACAAGATCCTCTCTCGGCCCAAGGTCCTTCGCGTGTTTTCGGCGGGCCCCCTGGCGGGGGCCCCGTACGGCTCTGAAATCACGGGCGCGAGCGATCTGGAGCTGCTGCGCCTGCGTAGGCATGTTTGTTTTGTCTGTGGTCAGACCTCGCTCTCAACTTCGCTCGTTGACCGCAGCTGCCCTGCTCGACTTCGATCCGTGCTGGCGCACCGCCACCGCCCCCATTGTGAGATGGTCGAAGGAGATATGGCTCAGCCAGTCTGGAGTGCATGCGCGGGGCATCCCCCTTCCTGCCTTGTGACGGTGCGCGATGACCGCGGTTTCACGATTCCCCTCGGCATCTTCTCGCCCGCTCTGATCAACATCCTTGTCAAAGATGGGTAATTCAGAATGTTGGAACGGCTTTCTGGTGATAAGAGGGGGTTCTCCCTCGGCTGTGATAAGATGTGCTACGTGAGGCGCTGGCCTCCAAAAAATACACGGCCCTCCAGGAGGCCCACGTTAGAGCTTTCGCTACGGAGGCCTTTTTGTACGGGAGACCGTGCCATCAGCTTGGATTACCTGGTGGACGGCCTCGACCCCTTCTGCGGCTGCCTCGACTCGATTTTCCACAGGCTGTGGGAATGCGTGGAGCCTGGTGGACAGTAGCACCGAGGAAGCTGCGCTGGCCGCTAAGGACGACGAAAACGATGGGTTCGTCTTTATATCAGGGGCTTTCCGCCCGCCACACCGCCGACCAATAACCTAGGCCCCTCACCGAGTCGGAGGATGGTCCGTTTCTTGCGTGGCACCCGAAAGATTTTTAGTGTCTCCCTCGGGCCAAGAGCCTGGCATGGAAGTGTGGGGTAATGTGTTTATAGGCGGGTCTAGCAGCAGACACGTGACTCATTCGTGAGCTTTCTCGTGCCGCCAGTAGCGTTGTCATGGTCGGCGGCCAGGGAGACTCTGTGGCTGAACTCAGGGCCGCAGTCTGGGCCCCGTATCCTCAGACGCCCCAGTCAGCCGAATTCAGCTGCCGGACATGGGCCAACGTGCTCGCCTCTTCCGCGATGTCGGTGTTTTCTGATTGCAGTAATGTTGTTAAGCTGGCTTGTCGGCCCAGAGGTGAGCAGCTCTCGGGAAAGCGGGCCTACTCTGGAGCTTTCTTGCAGCTTCACGCCCAGGGCATTCAGCCTGCCCCTTGCACCAAGGTCGCTGCTCACAAAGATATCGACGAGAGCGGAATCGATGCTGCCGGGCACTGGAGGCGCCTCGGCAACCACCACGCGGACGCTGCTGCCAAGCACGCTGTCCGTCTGCACCCGTCTTGCCCAGACCAGCTTGAGGCTGCCGACAAGCTCGTCGCACATGCGCCCCAGACGACCCGTTTGGCCGCGCACGTCCTACACCTCTGGCCAGCCTTGGATCTTTCCGAGGCCGAGCGCGTGCCACTCGTGCCCTCTGCCGCCGAGGCGCCTGCAGGGCACCGCTGGGAATCCTGGTCTGGTGTTTGGCGCTGTGCCGCCTGCCTCCGAGGGAGAAGGTCTGTGGAGAAGCCTCCACCAGGCTCTTGCCCTCTGGACTCGCCGCTGCACGCGTCTCGCCAGGACGCCTTAGAGCATCACACGATCGCGTTCGATTGCTCTGACGGCTCCGTTTTATGTATTTGCACGCGTTGCAAATCGTACCCCAGCGGAGCGTCGGTGGGTGGACTCGGGTCCAAGTGCCAGCCTCCTCCGTCTCGTGCTGCGGGATATCGTTGGAGTGCGTTGTGCCGAGGGCGTCACCCGCATTACAGGCAGCGGTCTGCGGGCGTCACTGTGGACACTGACAACCTCTTGCAATGTTTTAACACGTATGTCTGAAGCAGTTTGCGGCCCCCTGCTCTTCATCTTAGCAGGTGGGCGACTGTTCCTCGCTGAGGACTTTGATGGGAGCGTGGAGCTCCAACAAAAAATAGCGGGCGAATAGGTTTTACGTTGTAAAACGACTCAGGATGAGTGAACGTTCAAGTCATCAGAAGAGTTGTTAGGATGTCCAAGACAATTCGGAGACTGAGCATCGTGATACAAGCTCGAAAAAATAGTCATGGGGAACAAGGTGTGTTTAGGGCACGTACAGGAATTAGAGTTGCTATTCTCCTGGTGGGAAGTACTCTCAGAGCTGGAGAACTTGTAAGCGTTATCGCAATTCGAACAGTAAGAAGTAGGCGAGGTTAAACATTTGGCCAGTGAGCTGAGAATCAGATGACTTGGACTCGGACGCGACGCCAATCGCATTTCGAAAGCTGCTCCCACCGCCTCAACCTCCTCCTCACCCAAAGGGTACTCTCGTAGGTATCGCTCTCACGGTGCAGAAAGAAGCTTACATTAGACTGCTACTTATGAGAATGTGACAAACTTATCCCCTTCACACCTGGTGCGCGGGCATCGGGCGCCCGATGAAACCGCTGGCGTCCCTCGGCAGCCGCCGGGCATCAGCTCGCCCGCGCACGCTCCCCACTGACCAGGCGCCGCGTCCCGGGACGCGGCCTGGCCACCCTGCGGCCGACGCATCTCCGAGCCCCGCTTCACACGGTCGCGCCTGTCTTTGTCCTCCCAGTCCACCGTGTAGGACCCGTCCTCGCAGACCTGGATCACCGTGGCGCGATAGTAGCGGCCGTTCGAGAAGCATGCCTCCACCCTGTCGCCAGCGGAAAACTGCTCGGCGCCGTCGGCACGCCTGACGCCACCGGGCAGGAAGACGGCGGCCATGGGGTGGAGGTGGCACCTATGGCGCACCATGTCCGAACCGCCCCACTTCATGTAGGGCGCGGCGCATCGCGCACAAACGTCGAAGTCGCACTTCGGGCACCGAAAGGCCTCCCAGAGTCGCCTCCTGCCGCAGCCGGGCGCGTCGCAGGTGTGGGGCGAGCGGAGGCTCGACCACCACATCAGCGGGTGCTCATGTAGGTCGCAGTGCAGTCCCTGCGTGGGCTCTGGTCTCAGACACCGCGCGTTCCACCAGCGCGGCTCCGACCTGGGCGTCGCGGGGCACATGACCGCGGCGCGCGCGTCGCCCGTGGCGGAGCGCGGCCCGTGGCGGCGGAGCGCCACTACGCAGCCCAGCTCCCCCAGGCAGGAGCGCATGCCGTCGTCCCACTCGCTGCGGTGGAGCCTCATGGCCTCGGCCTCGTCGTCCAGCATGCGGACGATCATGCCTTCCGCCAGCGGCTCCAACGGCGGGGCCGGTCGAGACGGCGGCGCCGCCGCTGCCGGGGCTGCATCCTGCAGGCCCTTGACCGCGAGGACCCGCGCCTTGGCCACTCTCTCCTCCCTCTGGCCATCCACTGCGTTGATGTGGAAGGTGCCGTCCGCGTTCACGACAGCGACGCGACCAACGTACCAGGAGTCGCCGTCCTCGACCGCGACCGCGTCCCCGACGCAGACGTCTGTCGCCTGGCCCTCCTCGTCGCCCCGCACCACGCTGACCGAGCCCTCGGCGGCGCCCGCGCCCTGGTCGGCGGAGGGGCCCTGCAGCAGCACCGGGTTCCACTCGAAAGCGAGGCCGGCCTGCTCCTCTGACATTGTCACCTCGACGGACCACTGGCCCTCCTCTCGGCGGCGAGCCCGGAGGGGAAGCGAGAGGGGGCGGGCCTTCTCGGGAGGCTCGGACGTCTCCCGGCCTTCTGAACTTGTTTCTGAGCCTCCCCCGAAGACATAGATGTTTAACCTCTCAGAAGGCGCCACGGCTTCCGAGAAGTCCCGCCGCCTTCTGAGAAGGCCTCCTCCTTCTCGCCTCTCCCCATCGCTCGCCGCCGAAGTTGCTTCTTGGGTCAGAGCTCGAATCTCCGCCGGCCGCTCGGGACGCTCCGGGCGCCCCCTGGAACGCCCTCGGCGAGGCGCAGCTGCCAGCAAGAGCCTCCCGAGGCTGGAAGGCTGCCGCCGAGCACCGGCGAAGAGAGCGCCCGAAGACCTCGAACCTCGAGCCCCTCGCTCGCCGCCGACCTATCTAGAGGCCTCCTTGACGGGGTCGGAGTAGATGGGGTCGGAGGATCGCGCCGCATCGCCGATACATCGGCGATGCATCGGCGATGCATCGGGGATGCACCGGCGATGCGTCGTCGACGTCGGCGATGCATCGGCGACGTCGACGCGAAGCAAATCGGGCTCCGCATCGAGCCGCATCGGCGATGCGTCGGCGATGCGGCGCGATCCTCCGACCCCAGCCCCTCCGATCCCACCTGGGAGGCCCAGAATATAGCTCCTCCTCGGCGGGGCAGTAGCCGCTCACCACGCCCTCGTGCCCGAGGCACTCGGCCATGTCCTCGTCGAAGCCCCCGAAGGCGTCCTGCAGGCCGTCCGCCTCGTCCGGGTCCTCGGCGGCCACGCGCACCCGCGCCAGGGGCGGCAGCCGGGCCAGCAGCTCCGCGGGCGGCGGCCGCGGGCGCTCCGCGGCCGCGGGCGGCTCGGGCGGGCGCCGGGCCGCGAGCGCCTCCCGCCATCGCTCGGACGCCCACTCCCCGGGCGGTGTCTTCGGCTTCGTGCGTGCCCAAGGGAGACCAAGGAAAAAAAAACAAAAAAATCTGAGTAAAACTGCAAGTATGAGGATTTTCAATTCTGTGCACGACTCTCACTTCTCAAGTGCTTGCCTGCGCAGGAGGGCCCAGGCTGCCCTGCGATGGTCCTCGCCGAGAATGAGAGAGTGCGCGCGTCCGAGCGATGCCGAGGCCTCCGCGGAGGCGGGCTCGTGGCGCACCTCGGCGGTCAGGGGCTCCAGCCGCTGCACCAGGCGCTGCGCCTGCGAGCGCCGCAGCGCGTGCGCCACGGGCCCGGGGCCGCCGCCCTCGACGCCTCGGCGCAGGGCCTCGTCCATCTCGGGCAGCCCCCGGGGCCAGCAGCGCAGGAAGCCGCGGCGGCCCAGCGCCGCGAGCAGGGCGCGCTCCACGTGGGGGCGGATGCCTCGGTGGCAACTCGCGGGGGCCTCCCGTCCCATCTTGCAGGCTCTTGCGAGTCGACGCCGATCGACGCTAGTCGACATCGAAGCTAAATCGACGCTGATCTAGGCGAGTCGGCGCTAAGTCGGCGCTAATTCCACCGACGACCCGACGCTAGCCAACGCCAGTGCACTCCAAAGACGGGACTGCGAGGGCACAGAGGGCGACCCTGACTTGCCACCGAAGGATGTCATCGAGCACGATCTCCAGCGGCAGGCCGTCTGCGAGCACCTCCGGGGGCATCATCAGGTAGACCGAGTAGGCCGACGGCGAGGAGCCATCCGCGTCCGCCTCGTCCTCGCCGTCGCCCAGGGCGCCCACGGCCGCCTCGGGATCCGCGTCGGCCTGGGGGGCCGCCGCGGGCGGGGGGCCGCCCTCGCCGCCCTCCGGCGGGCGCGGGGAGGCCGACGACATGGCCGCGCGCGCAGGCGTGCCCCCCAGACGTCCACCGGTGGTGCCCGCCTGCGCTCCCAGCCTGAGCCCAGACGGGCACGGGGGGGGCATCAGAGGGAGGGCACGAGGGCGGAGGGCGGTGGGCGGAGGACGGAGGAGGAGGAGGAAGGGAGGAGGAGGAGGAGGAGGAGGAGGAGG